AAATATGAGTGTAATCAGTAAAGGCTGCTTTGGAAGATCCTAAATGGATTATTCCAAAACCTGATGATGTCTCCGTTATAGGCTTAGAATGAATTTTTTAAAATAAAACTGACAAAGAAGGTAATGTGGTTAAAAAAATCAAGGTTAGTTGCTAAGGTATATTCGCAACAAGAAGGTATTGACTATGATGAAACCGTTGCCCATTTTGCAAGACTCGATGCTATTCAAATATTTCTTGCTTATACAACACACAAGGACTTCGATGTTTGTCAAACGGATGTCAAGTGCGCTTTCCTCAATGGTGTATTAGAAGAGATTGCATATGTTGAACAACTATTAAGTTTCGTAAATGATAAATACCCTGATCATTGCTATATTCTCGATAAAGTTGAATATGGCTTCAAACAAGGACCTTGAGTCTGGTATGAAACTCTTACCAATTTCTTCAAACTCTTGAAATTTAAACAGGGTTCTGTTGATCCCACTATATTTCGAAAGAAAGTGGGGAATCACTTGATGCTTGTTCAAATTTATGTAGATAATATTATTTTTGGTACGACTAATCCTTCATTGTCTAGAGAATTTGAGGATATGATAAAAATTCAATTCGAGATGACTATGATGGGTAAGACCAATAATTTTATGGGATTGAATATTAATCAGATCGGGGATGGAATTTTCATCAATCAACATAAGTACTCTCGTAACTTGCTTGAGAAATTTAGCGTGACGAATAGTTCAAAATTGAAAGAACCAATGGTTGTCCGCACACGCTTACGACCTTTGGACAAGCTTGTTGTCGATATTACATTGTACTGGAGCATGATCAGTCTGTTACTACACTTAAGTGCTAGTAGACCTGATATTATGTTCATTATTTGCAATTATGCCATGTATCAGTCGAATCCCAGAGAACCTCATCTAACAGTTGTGAAGAATATCTTTCGATATCTCAAAGGAACTGTTTCGTTGGAATTATGGTACCCTTCGAAGATCGGTTTCTTCATTCAGGCATTTTCAGATGTAGATCTTGGTGGGTGTCAACTCGATAGAAAAAAACACTATTGGTGCATGTCAACTTTTGGATGAGAAGCTTGTTAGTTAGCAATCGAAGAAACTATTGGATTTTGAGCACTACAACATTCCTATGGTGTACATGCAACCCCAATGCTTTAGATCTAAGTTTTTCTCTATTAAACATGCAAATACAAACTCCAAAGCAATAACCCTAAGACCAACATACACAATTTTGAAATTGACACATAAATTAGGGTTTAGATGTTACATCTCTTGTTATGTAGCAATAACAAGTTCACCTTGAATATCCTTAACCTTTGAAAGCTTAGTGCTCCAAGTGTTGCGCCTCTAATGGAGTCAGAAACACTCTATGCAAAGGATAAGAGGAGAGATGCTAGAAATCGGCCACCTTAGGGTTTCTTAAAGCTTACGGCCGATTTCATCATGTATGAGGGTCTTTATATAGTTGTGGCTGCTAGGGTTTTCAGGTGGAAACCCTAATACCTTACTTAGGCACCGAGCAGCCCATGGACTCCCTCCTTAGAGCCCTTGGACGAAATCTATAGGGCTTCCCCCTTAGGATTTCATCTACTCCACTCTATGGAGTCCATCAGCCCGATTATGCAACTATTAATGATTTGCATAACAGTCCCTCAAATATTAATCAGTCCCTTTAATCCTGAAATTAGTATCATATTAATTTCTGACTAATTACTAATTAATAATATGATTTCCAAATAATATATTCAACTTGTAATATATTAATAAAATCATTACGAGTATCAATTTATTATTCATATAATAAATCCAATTCTCTCTCTCTTCTTGTCATATTGTCAAGTTGCATGAGTGAAGGCAACCCAAAAGGATCATGCTCATAATCAAATCAAGTACACACCAATTATTGTTATTGGCATACACACCTTATCCAATAGAAATAGACCTGTGTTTTGATTTCAACAATAGAAGCAGAATATGTTACTGTTGCAGCTTGCACTTCTCAGGTCATATGGATACAAAATCAACTTCGTGATTATGCAATCAACATGAAAAAGATACCCTTGGATTGCAATTCATAAAGTTCAATACACATCTGCCATAATCAGGTTCAACATTCGAAGACAAAGCACATAAAACTCAGATATCATTTCATCAAGGATCATGTCGATGATGGAAACATAGAGGTTCACTTTATGAAGATGACGGATCACTTGCTGAGATTTTTACAAAGCCTTTGGATGAGAAATATTTTCTAAGGATCTTTTCTGGATTAGGAATGATCGATGCAAATGTTGTCCCAATCTTGTCCATATCATGAAACAATGAAGAGTCAAAATAACGTTGAACGCTTCAGAAGTTACTGTTCACTATTCAACGTTTGGCCCCATTCATTTTCGAAATCCCCTCTGAATGATTAAGTTCATACTTCATTGTCTGAGAAGAATTGTTGAGTCGACATATCTTGTCTCGATATCAATACTTTATCTTTCGAATGTCTGGCAACATTTTAATGTTTTTACTTTTGTTTTCCTTACAAAAAAACACCAAAAAGATTTTCTTATTTTTGTCTTTTCAATTCAAAAATAAAAATTGAAAAAACATTTATTTTTTTCATTTCATTTCAAAAACAAAAATCCAAAAGTATTTTTGTATTGTTTAGCGGGTTTAACAATTTATAGTGTAGTTCTCAATAGAAATATTATGTGGACATTGTTTCATGACTGTGGGACATGTAGAATTTCGAATATTTGCAATAGGTAGGTGTCCCTAGAAGCATGTTGTTGTATGTCGACCTAAGCCTCATAGACTCAATGTGTTTTGAAGCCTTAATGGATCACTCACTACAAGGGTTCCTTCCCAATCAGGCTATATTCACATTATTTGACGAGCTACCTTTCTCATCTCATTTTGAGTTATGTCCATATCATTCGCAGAGGTATATAATGCTTCTTCACCAATCTTTTTCACCTACTTAGTTCCTCACGATTCACACACTTCACTTCTGTATCCTCGACATCTCCGGTAGACACCAATTAGAATGTAGATATAGCACAAGTCTGTGTTCATGATCCTGATTCATGAGTCCGAGATGATGGTGAAATCCAACATTCCCAACTCATCCAGGAATCGACGGTGAACTTTTAGTTCAATATTTTCACGAAACATTTATTTTTGTACCTCACTTTGATATTTAAAATTGATTCCTCTCGTTATGTGTGGTCTTGACAAATGTTCTTTACCCAATACATTTTTCTCAACAGGATCTAGTACTTTATTTTTTTGGAATATGATTTCCGTCTGAATATCAGTTAGAACTTAAGTCACTTTAAAATTTATCCCGCCTTTGCTTGTCCCTGAGTATACCGATTATACAGGTAATTTTCGTCGTGTAACTCACATTTATGTTAAGTTGCAGTTATGAACAAAATTGAGCATACCTTCGAAGCCTATGTCAAAGAAGCCCTTTGATAATTCTTTACGAGTATTCAATTGTAGCACGGGATACCACACCAGCATTTCAATATCTTTGTCTGGGATCACTTGCCTTTACATCGAATGTTTATTTGATGTCACTATTCACACATTCTTTTTATCTTGGTTCCTGCTATATCTTTGGTACACATTTGCTTAGAAATCCTCAAGGTCGTGGGTAATACCAAGTAAAACCTAGATTTTGCAAGTTCGGTTATGATTTCGCTTCTCATCCCAAAGTGAATGAGCCATGCCTCAAAACGAAGGTCAAGTGACGGTTCTTATCCTCTTAGGGCAAACAAGCAGTTTTATGGATATGACAGTTTTGGTTACTTCATGGTTTTCCAGGAAAAAGTGCTCATTACTTTTCAAACGTAGCGACTTTTACGGAAACTGACCCATTATCCAAGACTTTACGTGGCAGATTTTCATTGGTGGTTGTTTCAAATTCTAAATTCTGCATTGAGTATAAAAGGAATTTGGTGGACTAAAATTACACTTTTATGCAATCTGGTTTTGATTTTTCCCTAAATCTTCTTTGCTTCTACTCATATCTTCATACAATTTTCCAAAACCCTAACAGTGGTGGCACATCCTAATCATGTTGATCCATCTAACACAATTGAAGAAGCAACATCACAACCATTACCGAAGATTAAGAGTTCCAATTATCGAGTTCAACCTGACATTTCCAAGTATCCAGAAGAATTATAGATGCTGATTATTGATATTAATCACTCTATGCTCTTAGCGGTCATGTCTTCTTCCTTTTCAATTTCCATGACTTGGTTATCCTTAGTCGGTTCTACTACCGGGTTCAACAAAACCTCAAAAATGGTAACGTTTCAACTTACAAATGATAATAAGTACAAGCTCACGAAGAAAAACTTTACACAGATCATGAAACTTCCTAACATTGGTCTATTTTATGAAGTGACAAATGAATAGGTGATACATATGTCTAATGAT